ATTTCCTTCAAAGCAGCTTGAACTTCTGCCTTCATCACCATAGGCTCTGGCTCAAATGCTATTTCATTAAATTCTTCTGTATCTGCCAATTCCTTTTGGTACAATGACTCATTATATTCCTTCCATCTTCTTTTGATACCTCCTGGATCATTTAACATTCTGCCTAAAGCATCCTTGATTACGTGGATTTAAAAAAATTAAAATTCAAACCCATGGCTGTAAATATACTCATTTTGGGGAATATATTCTCATTTAACTTATATTTAAGAAAAAAACACAAAACACACAGGTCTTAGTTTTCAAATTCACCTCTCACTTGAGTGTCATCCTTGGCCTTGTACTCAGTGCTCTTAATGGCCAACTCCACACCATAGCCAGAGAGGTAAACAGGTTCCAGACCAGGCCGCTGTAAGCCAGAAGCAAGACAGAGTGTCACCATCAGTTCACTACTCTTCACAACGCTAGGGTATAGATAGTTAATGCTATAGCTACTAGACATCATTGAAAATCATGAACTTAAACTTTTAAAAAATGCAAAAGCATAGAATGTTTATTATTTTCAAAGATATTAATAATCATGTGGGCAAGATAATTCACCAAAAACTTTTTTTATTTCTAAGTAACTTACTAAGCTGCAAAGAATAACAAATGCACTTACCTAGCATTTAAATACTGGGCTTAGGGAGGGGAGAATAGGAATTAAAAACTTATTCTCCCATATTACCTAATTTAACAAGATGAAAACAGAATAATGCCTAGAGAATTTTCTTACAATTACATGAATATAAAAAAATTTAAGATTTAAACACAGATTGAACATGGCTATAAATGTATTCACTAATGGAAATATATTGTCAATTAACTCATATTTAAAGAAAAAACAAACAAAACACACAGGTCTTATTTTTTTTAAACTCACCTTTCATTTGGGTTGCATGTGCTATTCTCTCACAAAAGATTAGCCATGTTTACTAGAATGTCAATTATTAAAAAACAAAAAATTAAACAAAAAAATAAATTAAAACGATTGTGATGTTAAAAAAACACTAGAAAATAGCAAATTTGGCAAGGGCAAGAAAGTGGACAGATTGACGCACTCATTCACTTCTGGTGGGAGTCTAAAATGGCACAATCATTACTGGAAACAGTATGCCTACGTCATATTTAATTAAAAATAGAAGCAACATATGATCTCACAGTTCCATTCTTAAGTATAAACTCTAGGGAGTTAAACATAACAAAATGAACAAACATGTACATTTAAGTTCACTGCAGCATTATTCATAATAGCAAAAAAGGTAGAAACAACCTAAATGCCTGTATCTGAAGGATGGTACACACATACATTTTAAGACTACACAGCCACAGAGAAATCAGACCGAGTGCATGTCATAATCTCACACATGTGACAAAAATGGATCAACCTCACAAACATTATGATGGGTAAAATCAAGTCAATCATAAAAGGCTGTAATGTCACTTGTAGGAAATGGCAATAGGTAAAAGTACAAAAATAAATGGTTAACAGTGGTTGTCAGAGGTCAAGGAGGGGAGAATCATGCTCGAGAAACAGGGATTTTATATACAATGATGAAAGCAGCTGGTGTCAAGGGTAACAGTCACACAACCTGACTAAAGTTATAGCTGTACACCAGGAAAAGGTCAAAGTGGCAAATGTTATAAGAAATTGTACAACAAAAAGATTCCGTGCTGAGAATACTTAAGTACAACGTCATCAGATTAGTTTAGTTGGTTTGGAAAGGTTAAGGTCAAACTTTCTTGTGATAGTCCAGTTAATTGACCTACTGCTGATTTTAGAGTTTCTATTCTACCACCTAGTTCATTGAGTACTACCCGGTGTCTTAAAAATTTGGGAGTGCCCACACAAAATATTGCTCTCTATTTGCATGGAGCATCAGAGTAAGAAGGAAAACAACCAGTCAAAGGGAAGACAGGCCAGCAGCCTAACTGCTTCCATTAATTGCTGTCCCCTTTGCCATGAGAAAAGAAAAACTAGATGGTGGCTACCTATTGAGCATTCTGGTCAAGATTCACTATATGGATTCTTATCAGAAGCCAGAGGAAAGAATAGAATTTCAAATTCTTATGGAACTGAATATTTTCAGACTAATTCCTGGCAGCATCCAAATCTATTGGTCTAAAATAATACTTAAGCCCTAAACTAAAGTCATTATAAGTTGAAAAATAGTTTAAATCAATTACTAAACAATGTTTGCTTTGACTATTTCATTATTTCAAAAACTAATATATATGAAAGTACACTGACCAGAGTAATGTCAAAGCCTAAGTAAGACGTTTAGGGGCAATGAATTCAAGTTAAGGAAGGTCAAATTCCAATCAATTGGCTAAGCCATGCCAGTTTTTTGGCATAGGTTAATGAGAACATGTGTGTGTTGAAACATGTCTCTAGGGGAGCTCTGGTGGCCTAGTGGTAAAGAGCTGCAACTACAATCCCAGAGGCGCACGGTTCTGATCCACCAGATGCTCTGCTGGAGAAGGAGGAACAATCTCCTCCTGTACCAGTCAGATCTGATTTGACGGTACACACTCTCTCTCACACACACACACACACACACACACACACACACACACACAAGAAAGAAACATGTCTCTAGACATTTCATCAATTCCTATGTCCATTTTTCTTGTCATTATCTTCAGTGCATTCTGAATGTCTTCCTTCAAAATGACGGATTTTTAATCATATGGTACCTCCTGAAAGGGTTCAGTGCCAACCAATTCTTTACAGCGGCGTGATTCTGCATATGACTTACTGTATCATTCGATATTTTTCCCACAGATTGCTTCAGTATTGCAGATTGAAGCTTGAGTATAATCTTCATGTCTTTCTGTTTGAGAAATGGTGTGTTTCTTCCTTTGTGTTTTCTACTTCTAGTTCTCTGCATATTTTTTTAAATAATACTTCAATATGTCTTCTTGAGCTGCCCTCTGAAATCTTCAGTTCTCTTCTTTCAGCATTTTTTCTCTTTATTTTGACTTCTTTAAATTCTGGTGCAAGTTTCAGAGTTTCTTTTGACATACACATTGGTCTTTTCTTCCGTCTGTCTTGAAAATGACCTTTTGTTTTCTCCATGGATGAGGTCTGATGCTATCCCACAATTTCTCTGCTCTTTGGTCATTACTATGCAATGCATGAAATCTATTAATGAAATAGCTTTTAAGTTTAGTTGGGATAGATTCACGGTTGTATTTTGGTTCTCATGACTTTTCATTTCTTTCAGCTTCAATGTGAACTTGCATATGAAATTTGACAGTCTATTTCACAGTCAAGTCCTGGAATTGTTTTAACTGCTGATACCGAGCTTCTCAATCTACATAATCAAATCTGAATCCTATGTACGCCATCAAGTGAGGTGCACCTGCACAATTTATATTTGTTTTTATTAAAAGGTATTTGTATGATCTTGTTATTGTTGTTATGTGCCGTCGAGTAGTTTGCGACTCACAGAGACCCTGTGTACCACAGCCCTAAACCCCGCTCTATCCTGTGCCAATCATACTTCCTCTGACACACCCATCCCGATTACCCCAGTCACTGAATCAATCCACCTCATAGAGGGTCTTCCCCTCCAGCGCTGTCCCTCCACCTTCCCAAGTATGATGCCCCTCTCCAAGGACCTTTCCCTCCTTACAACATGTCCAAAGTATGTCAGACGAAGCCCCAGAATCCTTGCCTCCAAGGAGCCGCCTGGTTTGACCCTTTCCAGGATGAATCTGTTTGTTTTCTTGGCAGTCCATGGTACATTCAATACTCTTCTCCAGCACCACAGCTCAAAGGCATCAAGTCTCCTTCTATCCTCCGTAGTCATTGTCCAACTCTCTGATGCATAACAAGTGATTGCAAAGACCATGGCCTGTATCAGGTGCACCTTAGCCTCCAGAGAGACATCGTTGCTCTTGAGTACTTTAGAGAGGTCCCTAACAGCAGACATTCCCATCGCAATACGTTTTTTTATTTCCTGGCTGCTGGTGCCAAGAGTGTTGACCGTGGAGCCGAGCAAACTGAAGCTGTGAACAATCTCAATCTCTTCGCCATCCATCCTAATGCTACCAATTGGTCCAATGGTGAGAATCTTTGTCTTGACAGTGAGCCTCAGTCCATACTGAAGGCTGCAGTCCTTGACCCTCTGCAAAAAGCATTTCAGGTCCTCTTCAGTTTCGGCAAGCAGGGTTGTATCATCTGCATAACACAGATTTTTAATAGGTCTTCCACCAATCCTGACGCCACACTTCTCCTCATAGAACCCAGCCTCTCGGATAATCTGCTCTGCATACAGGTTAAAAAGGTATGATAGGACACATCCCTGGCGTACACCTTTCCCAATTTTGAACCATGCAGTGTTACCCTGCTCAGTTTTAATGACTGCCTCTGTATGATCTTAGCACCTAATATTTAAACTACATGATGCAGTCAATATTTACAAAACTTCCTGATATAGTATCCTCTAAAGAATAAAAATTTTCTATACAAATATTTTAAATGGTAAACATTAACATGGCTTTAAAAGCTTAATTTTAAAACTATTCTGCCTTATTTCACCTCTAGAAATCCTGCCCAGTCACAAAAAAAAAAAAAATATTGCAGAGGAAAAAAAGTTCAAAATGAATAATGAAAAACTGAATTAAAAAACTGTTTAAAGGGATATATAACTGGGTATTATTGTCATGACAGAAGTCCAGAATGAAGGCTGCACAGTGGAGTGGACTTGGGGGGGAGGGACTCCATAGCAATGAAAGAATTTTTCTTTTACTTTTCAAGAAGAGTGAATAGGGGGTGGGGGCAGGAAGAAAAGTGCAACAATGAATGACTGGAAACCCTAAGTCTCTGTAAACTTTCATTAAAATTAACTTAAAGGAAAAAAAAGAAACATTTCTGACAATGAATTAGGTCAAGCCCACTAGGATAGTTGTTCTCAGAAAAATCAAAGGCAATGAGCATTAGGAAAAGCAGTATGACAATTCTTCCAAAAGGTAAACATAATAACTAACACACATAGCCATCAAGTCAAGTGCAACTAACAGTGACCCTCCATTTGGTTCTGATATTCGCAGTTTCTACAGAAAGGTACTGCCCATTTTTCTGTCACATAACTGCTTGTGGACTCAAATCATTAACTTTTTATTTAGTAGTACAAAAAGTACACTATCCCATCTACAAATCCACTCCAAGATGGGCAATTCCACAATCAAGCAACAGGGAGATGTGGTCTCAAGGAGATACATCTACACCAATGTCCACTGCAGTGTTAGTCACAGTATCAAACAGTGGAAAACATTCAAGTGACTATCAACAGATGAATAGATAAACAATATATGATGCATCTAAACAAGAGAATATTATTAAGTCACAAAAGAGAAATGAAATGTTATTAAATGTTATGACGATCATGAAAGCTAAAAACTTTATGGCAGCCTGAAAACTTTACAGCACATAAAATAAATGAGAAACCAAAGGAAAAATATTGTGATGATTTCCTTTATATGAAATATTGACAGCCAATGAATGCCTATTAGCATCTCCAGGATATGAAGAAAAGGATAAATGGGAGGATATGTTTTAGAATGATATAAACCTTCTGGAAATAGTGATGCCAACTGTATTCTATAATGAATATAATTTATGTCACTGAATTTTACACTTAAAAAGTAGGTTAAAAATAAATTAAATCATTGTGTATTTATAAAAAAATTCACTGATCAATAATCACCTCAATAGTTTTATAATTTAGGAAAAATATTTCTATAGTTCATTTTTAACTAAAAGACTAATTATTTAATTCACTCTCCTTTAGTATAATTATTTTATTCCTTTAGCAAAGTAAGCAAAACATATCCTATGGATAAATAATAGATGGGACAAAAGTACTAGTTTCTCAAAACACATCTCAACCTGCATTTTCAGGGTATCAGCATGGAACCTTGGTGGTTTAGAAATTGCAGATTTTGCTGGCCCTGCTCAGCCTCTCCTGTCACCGAAACTACAGAGGCAGGCAAAATTTCAGAAGCATGTTGCACAGGTCCACTGGTGTGCAGTCCAGAAAGAAAAATTTACTCCTGGAATATTCTATGTTGGTCACATACCTCGAGGCCTTTTTGAATCCTTATTCAAGTCATATTTCTCCCAATTTGGTACTTTTACAAGACTTAAATTGTCCAGAAGATTGTAAAAAAACCAAACTGTCTATAAGTAAAAAGACTGGAAACAGCAATGTCCCTAAGTAAAAAGACTGGACACAGCAAAGGCTAAAGATGAGTGTGAGTCTGATAATATTGCCAAGATAGGTGCTGAAACAACTTTCACCTTTTTGGTGAACGATAAAAGTGTGATTTCATACGACCTGAGAAGGTACATGAAGTAGTTTTCAAAGACTGGACTGTTCAAAGCCATCAAATCCTGCAGTGAAACAATATAATAATAATAAGCACCACACACATCCAGAAAACTACTGATGGAGAAGTGATTTAAAAACAAAGAAAAATTACTGAGAAAGAAGTTAGCCAAAAAAGGAATTATTCAGTCTCACCACAACCAGTTAGTCCCATTTTACAACAGTGGCACTATGACATCAGGGTTGTGGTGAAACTGAAAAATATTAAATTATGTATACTGCATTGAAACAGATGAGGGAGAGAACAGCTCAAAAGCAATATAGGATTGGATATTATGGTTAAGATGGGATCCAAATGAAGGTTGCATCGTGGAGTGTACTGGGGGGGAAGACTGTATACCAATGAAGGAATTTTACTTTTCAGAGAGACGAGCAAACTGGGGGGAGAAGTGGGCACGGAGAAAAACACAACAATGAATGAATGGAAATCCAAAATTATTGAAAAGGCTCATTAAAATAAAAAAAATAATAATAAATTGTTCCTAATTTTCCTCCACTGATTCTACCAAGGAAGAAAAAAAGAAACATCATCAGCACTGATCTTCAAGACTGTACAAATAGCCAGGGCTCCTCGCCAATATACACACCATCACTCTTGGAGAGGTAAAAATCTAAAGTGGCTACAATGAATGATAATGATGAAGATAATGAAATAATTTCTAACAGCCTGTTGTCAGTGTAAAGGAAGAAACACAAGAAACTGAAATGCCTACACATTGAAGAAGAGAAAGAAGAAAGGGCAAACAGTGATTCTGAATGTAGGAAGTATTTCTTTGGAAAAGTGTGGTAGTTTGTTCTTAAGACTGACTCTTGAAATGTTACAACATTTGAAGAACAATATTTGTTCAAGTACAGCCATCCACTCTGACTTGTGAAAGGCAGGGACTAGTGGTCTGCTCTTGCTGCATCTTAGTCAGCTAGTCTTCCTGTTTCCTTTGCAATTGTCATTATTTAATCATTAATTCGTGGCCAGCAACTAAACTTCTACAGTTATTTGTATGTACATGAAACAAGTCATTTTTGCCTTCTCAGTGATTTATTATGATCTCTGGCCCTGTATTTTTGTGCTGGGTGGTAGATGCTGTCAGACTGGGTCTACACTCAGCTACCCTGTGGCACAACAGAATAAAGTCCTGCACCACACTCACACACAAAAACATTTCTCAAATAATTAAATTATTTGGTGAATGAGGAATGATTAGTTATTGTTGTATGGCCAGGGAGAGAAACTCATATTTGAAAGAGGTAAAAATTAAGAACATACTTACAGATATATAATGTCTGAACACATAGTTGATTTTGCCAGAGATGCTTTTTGATACAAGTTGTCGGTGGAAAACTGAAAATGCTTCATGGCCAATCTCAGCGTAGAAAATCACAACTGGGCTTTCTGGGTTAGATGACAGGTATCTGTGATCTCCTTTAAGTAACAATGGTTTAGGTCTGAAAATAGATTTTAAAACCTGAAAATCTTAAACTTGACATTTTTAAACTTTAAGAAAGATGTAAATTATAGTAAAAATTGAAGTAGAGATTGTAAGAATCTTGATATAAAGACATCACAGTTTTAATTAGATGTCATTTCTTTAGAATCACTGTCATGAAAGTCTTACTAATTATTAAAACAATAAAAGTACATTATATAGAGAGTACTGGTTGCCTAGTATTTAAGAATCTGCGCCACAATCTAGAAAGCACTGTATTTCAAATCCACTAGATGCTCGGCAGGAAAAGAATGGACCATCTCCTGTGAGATTACTGTGTCTGAAAACCTACAACCGGATCAATTATGGGTTGGTTTTAATTAGATGGTACACAACAAGAAGCATTAAAATGAGGTCTTTCATCAATAACTGTTCTTGGATGGAGGAGGAAATAGGAGAGGACAGCTATCTAAATTTCATACTACTATAATCTTTCTTCATATGAGAAGAATATAAGTACAAAAGTTAAAACAAGAGGATGACTTCAAGCATTTCTACCTTATATACAACCACAACATTCCTGCTAATTTCATTTCTCCTCATAAACCATAAAACTTCTGAAGCAAAAAAAAAAATTGATGGTATCCCTCTTTGAAAAACTGTCCATTAGAACACAGAGACATGTGAATTTGGACATTCACTATAACATTATTGTAAACAGGGGGAGGAAATTAAATAAAAACCATTTGAAAATCATCAATAAAAAAATTTACAGAAAGTCTTATAATAGGTTATTAAATATAAAAGGACTCTGTAACTGTAAACACAGCTTTTCAACACAAAAGACTCAACTAGTTTGCAAGTCAGGTAAAAATGAAATCAAATATCATTTGTGATTAAGACAGCTTTACATAACAATGACTCTCCCCACACACAAGGATCTTAACTGCTATATTCACTGCACCTGAAGAAGGGAGTAATACGTATATATACTAAATAAAACTTACTTATAAAAAAATTTGTAAACATACAAAAAATTCTAAAAGATATGGCAAACCAATAATACAATTTATCACCTTCCTGAAAAGAGGAGACTATTACTTTGAACTGGAGGAGAGGAGGGGAAGGGAGGAAAATGTGCAGCAATGAATGAATGGAAATCCAAGTTATTTATAAACTTACAATAAAATCTCAATTAAAAAAAAAAGAGGGTAAAAAGGAGACTATTACATCAGTATCTTTGTAATTAAAAAAATACTTTAAAAAAAAAACATTAAAAAGGAAGCAACCTGCTTACCAACAGAACACTCTGTACTAAGCACACCTACACTGGTCCTGAGAATGCTTTAAGGTGCACCATCTGCTTGTCAGTCACACTAACTGGAGTGCAACGAGGTAAGCAGCAGGCGGGAGCCATATGCATGCACAGCATCCCACACTGGTCAGGCAGCATCTTTAAATAAAAAAGGACTAGGTGAAAAGGAAACCCAATGCCACTGAGGAGAACCCAGCTGAGGAGGACTCTGAAACTCATTGACGTTTTTGACACTGCAAACCTAACTACCCAGAGAGAACAGTTGTCCTACTTCAGGGTTATCAGAGAAGATACCACAGGACTGCTGCCGTGGTTGAATAGCAAAACATGCAGCTATTATACTCATTCACAGGTAATTTTCCTTTAAACACAAAATTCAGTTTCTTCATTGCAATTCAGCAATCAAAGCCTGCAATTATCTCTTAAACAGTCATAATTGACATTGTTAATATCTGATATATAATCAACATTATCATTAAATTTAACATGTTGCCGCACACTTTTTAAATTGACGACTGTGTTTAGAAACACATTTGCCATCATTTGCGGCATCGTGTTAAGACACTCATATTATCCTGCAGCCATTTCTAGAAGCAAAGAAAGCTTTTTATTTTATATTTAAAAACTAACAATAAATGTTGTCTTAAACACATTATAAAAAAAAAAAGACACTCATATTAATACACACTATAATCTTACATTACTAAACTGATGGCAAAGTATTTAGACTATGCCAAGTACGACTATTACTAAATAACAAAATATGAAGTAATCCTGTTGCCTTCATTTGAAAATACAGAAATTAATGTACTTAAGTTCACAATGTGATCTTAATTTAACTGATGAAGGTAGGATTCAAATCTAGTCAGGCTGATTCCTGAATTCCAACACTAAAACATCCCACTTACAGAACACACAGACATAAGTAAAATCCGAAGGTACATTCTATCAAGAAGAATGCACAGTGAAATATATAACATTTATTTAAAGACATACAATGAATGTACCTTTCAGATGCTGTAAGGAGAAAACTCTCAAGGGTATCAAAATCACAAGTCTTCTTTTGGTGAACTGAAAAAAAAAAAGTGCAGCCTTCTGGCGGTGGTTCATCAGCAGCTATCTGTAATGGGAGAGATATAGCATGTTTTCTGTTTTTCTTTCCTTTAAATGAGTCCTAACAAAATATAAGATAAAAACAAACACACACACCTGTGTGTGTGTGTTCGAAAGAGGAAAATTCATTCTAAAACATCACCTTTCCTGAATATCCATTAGCTGTCAGAATCTAAGAGTTCTATATGTCAGTTATTTTCCTCCCAATGATGTGCTATCTTTATCCCTAAATCTTTAAAGCTCTATCTCAGAAGAAATATAAAATGTGACTTACAAGAAATTACAGTTACAGGAATGGTAATTTATACCAATAAATGCACATATCAAAAATTAAGAACCAGGGAGCTCTCATGGTCTACTGGCAAGAAGCTGCACTGTAATTCTAAAGATATGTGGTTTGAATCTACCAGATGCTCCACTGTAGAAGGAGAAGAAATCACCTTCTGTGCCAGCTGGATCTGATATGACGGCACACAAGTTAAAAAAAGGAAAAGAACCAAACTCAACACCTTAACTGATGCCCCAATAATTAGTAAAAGAGCAGCAAAAATAATCCTATCATTTTCAGAAGAAAGGAAATAATAAAGATTAGAAAAGAAAGAAATGAAATTGAAACAGAAATAATAATGGAAAGAATGAAAAAGACTACCAGCTGGGGTTTACAATTAATAAAAACAATAAGCCACTGCTAAAAGTAACAAAGGAAAATATGATGCAAATAACACTAGTAATAAACTGATGATGTAACAACAGAACCAAGTGAAATAAAAATAACACAATACTATAAGAAGCACAAGATTGCCCTTTTTTACCACAGGTATTCAATGTTGAATTGGAAGTTTTTGTTTGAAAAATACTACTACAAGAAAAATCCCAGCAATAATGTCAGAGTTCAACAGAACAGCAAGCAACAAATGTTAGGGAGACTGTAATGAGATTAGAACTCTCATTTATTGATGATGAGAATGTAGAACAGTGCAACCACAATGGAAGATGGTCTAGCACTTTTTCAGCAAGTTGGAAATAGAAATATCATTTGACACAGTGATCCCTCTACCGGGAAACCAGAGCCACGACTCAAAAAGATGTATGCACGCTCATGTTTATTGTTGAGTTATTCACAATAGCAGAGGGATGGAAGTAGCCCAAGTGTGCATCAACAAATGAATGGACAGAAAAATTAAGGTACATTCACACAATGGAATATTACGCAGCAATGAAAAATAATGAACTAGTAAAACATTACACAACATAGGTGAGCCTGGAAGACATTACACTGATTAATGGACAAATATTGCACAACACCGCTATTAATCTTTAATGATCCTAGAAGCACCAGAAAATGAAAAGAATAGAGTTATTGTACCAAAAAGAAATGGTCACCACTTCAGAAAACAGCATCTGATCATGAATCAATGGTAATAAAGGGCAAAGTGTGAGCTGCACTAAAGACAATGACAAAAAATAGGGCCCCAGGAATTAATGGAATACTAGCTGATGTCTTCCAATGAAACAAATGCAACCCGATTATATTCACCAGACATTGCCAAGATTATCTAGAACACAGCTACCTAATCAAAGGACTGTACCAATTCCCAAGAAAGGTGACTACCAAAAAATATCCTCACTATCGCATGCATTAGCAAAATCCTAGAAAAGATTTTTTTTAAATGGCTACAGCAAATAGATTGACAAAGAACTACCAGAAATTGAAGTGAGATTAAAAAGAGATCATGGCACTAGGAATATATCATCGATGCCAAATGGATGTTGGCAACATGCAGAGGAAAAAAGAAGGATGACTATCTGTGTTTTATTAACTATGCAAAAGCATTTGACTCTGTGGATCACAACAAATTATGATTAACAGGTTGCTGCAAATGATGGCAAAATATGTTTCTAAGCACGGTCGTCAATTTAAAAGTGTGTGGCAACGTGTTTAACAATGAGAAGAATGGGAATGCCAGATCATTGGATCATGCTCATACAAAACAAAGTTATAAAGCGAACAAAGGGTACAATGCACTGTTTAAAATCAAGAAAATTGTACATTGGGGCTATCCTTTTTCTATAACCTATTCAACTTGAATAAATAATTGAGAAGCTAGACTTTATTAAAGAACAAAGTGGCATCAGAATCATCGAAAGACTTATCAACAAACTACATTGGGCAAATGGCACAACACTGCCCACAGAAAGTGAGAACTTGAAGCACCTGCTACAGAAGATCAAACACTAAAGCCATCAAACTGGATTACATCTCAAAGTCAAGAAAATCAAAGGTCATCACCACTGGGTCAATAGCAACATCATTATGGAGAAGAGATTGAAGTTGTCAACAAATTATATTTTGCTTGAACCCACATCAACATCCTTGGTAGCAAGACTCAAGAAATCCAAAAGACGAGTCACACTGAAGAAAATGTGCCTTCAGAGTTAAAGAGCGATGATGCCAGCTTAAAGACTAAGGTATGCCTCAACCAAGCCACTATGCTGGCCATCAAGTCAGAACCAAACCATAGCTGACCCTCCAGTGGGTTTTCAGAGACAGTAAATTGCACTGGAATGGGGAGAAATTATGCATCCTTCTCCCATGGAGCAGTAGATTCAAACTGTGTGCCTTTGGAATTGACACACAGTTTCTTACCACTAAGCCACCAGAACTCCCTGATCTGAGCCATGGTCTTCTCAATTGCTTGCTATGCATCCAAAAGTTGGACACTAAGGATGAAAGATGAACCAATGCCTTTGAGTTGTGGTGCTGGAGTACTGAATATCCCATGGACTGCCAAAAAAATAAACAGGTCCGTCTTGGAGAAAGTAAACCAGATGGTTCCTAGAAAGATAGAATAGTGAAACACTGTCTCTCATCCTTTCAGTATGTTGTTAGGAGGGATCAACCCTTGGAAAAAGTCATCACGCTTGGAAAAATGGAGGGTCAGCATAAGAAAGGAAGACCACAGACAAGATGGATTACCACAGTCACCATAGCAATAGGCTCACATGTATCAAATATGGTGAGGATGGCAGGTTTCATATATGTTGTTCACAGGTCCACTGTAAGTTACAATAGATGTTATTTCACACAACAAAAACATACAAAGAAAACTATAAAATGTTACAAGAAACTTACATAAATGGAAAAATATATTCATGGATTGGAGGGCGTAATATTGTGAAAATGGCATTTCAGATCATTTGCTATGCATCTGAGAGCTAGACAATGAATAAAGATGACAAAAAAATTATCGATGCCTTTGAGCTATGGTGTTGGAGTAGAACAAACAAATGTCTTAAAGAAAGTGAAGCCAGAATGTTCCTTTGCCTCACACACTTTGGGCATGTTGCTAAAAGAGGCTACTCTTTGGAGAAGGACTGATGCTTGGAAAGGCAGAGATTTGGTGAAAGAGAGGAAGACCTTCAAACAGGTAGACTGTCACAGTAACTGCTGCAACAAGCTCTACTGTATCAGAAAGTGTGAAGGTGGCATAAAATAGGACAAGATCCAGATCTGATATTCATAAAGTAGCTATGAGTCATATTCAATTCAACAGCACCTAGCAACACCACCACCACAACCAGAAGTGATCTATAGATATAAATATAATCCCAATATAGATGCCAGTAACAGATATATGCACACCCATGTTTATCACAGCTTTGTTCACAATAGCAAAGAGTTGGAAACAACCTAAGTGCCCATTAACAAACGAATAGACAGAAGAATTTTATATTCACACAATGGAATACTACGCTGCTTCGAAAAACAAAGAAATAATGAAATATACAAAATGGGTGATCCTGGAAGACATTATGCTGAGTAAAATATCTCAGTCACAAAAGGACAAATACTGCACAGTGCCACTGTTGTAAAACAGGACTGACATCGGGATTAGGGGGAGACTGAGAAAGAAGGGATAAATTATGTATACTGCATAGAAACACATAAGGGAAAGAACTATTTAAAAGGGATATATGATCAGGTATTATTGTATTGACAGGAGTCCAGAACGAAGGCGGCATAGTAGAGTGGACTTAGGGGGAGGGACGGTATAACATGAAAGATTTTTTCTTTTACTTTTCAAAGAGAAGAGCAAACTGAGGGAAAGGGGTGGTCAGGGAGAAAAGTGCAACAATGAACGAATGGAAATCCAAAGTTGAAGTTAATAATAATAATAATAATAGTAATAATAAAAATAATCAAGGCACAAAACAAGGATTCAACAAGGACCTTGGGCGTAAAACCTAAGACTACGAAGATCATCAAAGAAAAAAATGGAAGCAAATGCCGCAGCCATGGTCTACGGCCAAATGACACTCGTAGCCACTGAGTCTGAACCTACTCATAGCAGACTCGCCAAAGTACTTTGGAAGACTATAAACAGCATGGAAGGAAACTGTTTGCTCATCTTTCTCCTGGAGCACCTAGTGCATTCTAAGTACCCTTGGATTAGCAACACAAGTCTCCATGGCAAAGCACCTCTATAACACAAACTATCAAACATAACATAAAAAAGCACGATCAACAGTTGACTAGCACAAACAACTACATGACTGAACTCATAAAAGTCAAATTTTCATGAGAATGAAAAGACTTCCCCAAAAAGAATACAGGGAGAATGTACAGATGGGGGGGTCGGGGAAATATAAACTAACAAGGGAATTATCTATAACATACATAGAAAACTCCAGTACCTCAACAGAAAAAGACGAGGAACCCAATAACAAAAAAGGTCTCATGACATGAAAGACATTTCACTAAAAGATACAGATAGTCAACAAACACTTGAGGATTCTCAAGACCCTTAGCTAGTAGAAAGCTACTACAAAACAAGAGAACATCTCATCTCATAGAAAAATAGCAATGTTCAATAAACTTGTAAACAAAAAATGCTGGCAGGCATGCAATGAAATAGGAACTCTCCAACACTGCTGGTAAGACTGTAAACATGGTGTAATCACTATAGAAAGCAGTTTGGTGTTTCCTTAGAAAAGTTGGAAACAGAA